ATTATTAAAATGTGAGTAATGAACAAGGTATCGTAACATCTCATTTCGAGGAATCAAGCCAGACCCTACGTACTAAACAGCATTCTAAAATCCTTAAATTTTCAAACCTATCTTCACTTCTCCAGTAGAAGGAATACTTGTAAGGCTATCAAATAAACTATTAAAAATTCAAAGATACTAGAATTTTTGAAGACTTTTAACTTTGGGTAACTTTGGTTAACTTGTCTTTTCCCAGCTAATGTTCTTTTCTATTTCTCTTACACTTCAACTATGAGAAGGGGAAGGGAAGATTTCTAATTATTTACACCAAATTGTCTACTAGGCTTACTTTTAAAGATATTTTTAAAAAATATTTACTTTAAAAAAAACTGTAACTCATTTCAAAATTAAGATTTTTTAAAACATAAAAAAGTATGTGTCCAATGACTAGACACTGATGTGTCTGACAAGTAAGAGATAATTGTGGAATTATAGTAAATAAAAAGTCAGAGCCAGAAATATAGCTCAGCGGCACAGTGCCTGTCTGGCAAGTGTGGGGTTGTGAGTTCAAAGTCTGGTACCAAAAGAAAGTCAATATTAATTTTTACTTTCACAAAAATGTATTAATCTATTGAATAAAAGAACTATGTACTTCACAGTGATAAAAAAAAATTCTGTATCTGTATTTACTTTTCCCATTAAATTTGGTCTTTTAATGGGGCTAGGGGTGTAGTCCAGCCTAGTACGTGCAAAGTCCTCGATTCTATGCCCAGCACCTCAAAAAAGGGGAAAAGAAAAAAAATCAGGCTATTCCTATATAATACTTTTTAAATTCCTAAAGATGAATTTTGTACTGTACTTCTTAACTAAATAATCTTCACCCAAAATCGACACCATTATAATTCTAAAAGAAGGCTTTACCAGAAATGGTGTAACACTTAAGAATCTCAAACCTATTATTAAAAATACTTTAACCTTTTCCATCATAACCTATTTCTTTTCAGTTTTTCTACATAACCTGTAACTCAGTACACAGCATAACACCAGCCCAAAGCCTCCGACATCACTTGAACTTGAATTTCAAAAAACACTATAGGAACTGAATTGCTAAAAAGCATCTACAACCTAGTTCAGGCTGTCCTGGAACTCAGGGTGATCCTCCGGCCTCAGCTTCCAAATGCTAGGACTGTAAGCATGCACCACCACACTTGGCTGCTTGATGAATTATTGAGTCTAACTATTTCTTTTTATCTGTTCTTACTTTTGGTTTTATTTGTTAGTTTTGTTTAGTATTTCTGGATGTTGTATTTTATTAAATTAGACAAATATTTGTTTGTAGCAAATGGAGATTAAAATTTTAAATGGGCAGTCTCAGTTCTCTTTAGTTTCTATAAAACTTTTAAAAACAAGTATTTTAGAATGTAGAACTTGAAAGTATTTCAGAATGTAGCTTTTGTTGTTTGTAACACTAAGGTGGGATTGGTTAAAATACTGCATACTTAGAAATTTCAGAAATAAATACTGCATCTATGTAATGTGATGAGCTGCATCAAAAAACACTATCTCCCCACCCCCCAAAAAAAGCAAATAAATGGGACAGAGAAATTTGTTTTTATGTAAGGGTATTGTATACGTAAAACAAACACTGTTTTATGTCACTGCAGCATCTCCATGACCAAATGGTAATTATGCAGCACACAAAAGCAGTTTTACTGAAAATTTAAATGTGAAGATAAAAGATAAGAGGAATACAAAGAAAATAAAAGTACCCAATTGTAAGGCACTGTCAATATTGGAAAACAAATACACATAAGAAGGCAAGATTACAGGCCACTGAAATTCCAAAAGAATGAATAAGAAGAATTTTTTTCTTGTTTTAATCTCCCCAAATTTTGGCAAGTAGGGCAGTTTTATCTACGTGATAAAACTCTTTCAAGGAATGGCCTGTATCTGCCTAAACAGAATGCACCCAGGCTCGGGGGCGGGCGGCCCCAGACTCCCCCTTCTCTTTCAGTTTCCCCTTCTTTCAAGTCCCTTTCTCCTTTCTGTCCCTGTACTGTTTCCTGCACTCCAATCCGCAGGTGCTAAGAAGTACCTGTTCAACAACCATTAACAGTAAAGTTGAAATTCACACCAAGGTCATATTTCAGATAGCTGTCTGCACAGCCCACATAAATTCAACTGTATGTACTGACTTGCCCTTTGGAGTTCAATGGCTATTTACCCCCTGCATGGCTATTTTTAAAAATGAGTTAAATGGAGAAACGTCTGCATTGCATTAGGTCTTTTAAGTCCCCAATGGCAAAAATGCAGGACATTAAAATAATAAATTCTTAAAACATTACTGGTTCATAGTAAGATGGTGTATATCTATGATAAATCTACCGAGAAAAAGCATAAAACTATTCAAAATTAAAATTTTGTACCCAATTTTCTGAGGAAAATACTGGAAGGAAGAAGAATCTGACCTCCAGGTCAAACACTTGTGTGTAGGGTGCAGAAATGAAGAACACACATATGTTACACACATGTGCGTCAAACAGGTCAGGAAGAGTACACAAGAAACTGGCAAACACGGCTGCTTCTGCGGACAGAAACTGGATGGTTGGGAGGAATGCAGAGGAGAGAATTCACTTTACATTTCTGTACTTTTAGAGGTGTGTACAAGGATCATCTATTTCCCATTCCCCAAAACTAAGTAAAATAACTGGTGGGGAGTATATTAATACTACACTGCTCCTACATAAAACAGCATCTAGAGGGAGCTTAGCTAAAGGTATGAAAGTAGCACGTGAATTGGAGCAAGACTACTACTTCCTTGTACTAAGTAGAAAGAAGTCTTCTGATGGTTCTAAAAGGTTATGAATAAATCAAATATATATATATTTTAAAACCCCAACCAAGCAGATCCTAAAGTACATTAAAAGCATAACTATGGTGTTAGTTTACCACGCCGTTTCCCAATGTCAGCATCCTAAAGAAACATTTATGGCTACTAAAAATCGAAAGCTTCTTAAAATTTTCATGTATTTGTACATGAAGGGGAAAGCTACTTCCTCTAATGAATGAACTTAATATTTTCTATTCATCAAAATTTTTAAAATGCAAAGATTAAGAGTTTTCAACTACCTTGGCTAATTTTTCAAATGAACTCTTATTTAGAAAAGAAATGAATACTGGTCGTCCCTGGATAACATTCTTCGTGTCAGCGACTCACCTCGACTACCTCTTGAAATTTTCCAGAATACTTCTCTATCTTCCTCTCAAAAGCCACCAGGATTTCTTGCATAGGAGCAAGCCTTTCAGGACTGGTTTCAAGATCTTTTGGATTCCAGCTGCTGGAAAAGAAGGGCCACCATTTTTGGTCTTGGGAACTCTTCCGAAATATCTGATACAGAGTCCATTTCTTCAATGTCATGAAACTTTGTGGGGGAGGGGGTCCTCTTTTGTCTTAATTACTGTTTTTAAGAATAAACCATACAATTTAAATGAAACATGATGTGGACTAGAGGTAGCAATTTCTGTATTTTATAATTTCTAGATATTCATAGATCTTGATTATTCTGTTGCAGCATTTGCTACTTGCTACAAATTCAAAGATTATATTCTTTTTTAAAGCAAAGAAATTAAACATCATTATGATAAAACCAGAGAAGTTTCACATCACGTTCATGTATCGTGGCTACTGTGAAATTCACACCACCTGAAGTCCAGGAGTAAACCACTTTCATGCTAGGTGCTTGCGGCCCAGCTCAGGAGTTATCCTGGACTCTGCCTTCTGCCAGAAGTCTTAGTAATTTTATCTCATCAATATTTCTTGTATGTTTCCCCCATTTAATAGCCCGATTACCACTACCAAAGTTGAGGATGGAGCCAGGGCTAATATAATCATTAGATTATCTTCTCAGAAGGAACACTAGGTATTAATTTTCAACTTACGCATTTTGAGAGCTCCCTACTCCGTCTCCACTGCTTATCACTCACAGGACCAACACCACAGGCACCATTCAAGTTTAGGAGGGAGAGAAAGAGTCTAGCCCCTGGGAACTCTCCTGAGCAACCACCCAATCTCCCTGACAAGGAACCACCCTGAGAAGAAAGTCCTGGGAAATAACTTGAAATGGAGCAGGGTAGGAATAGTGGAGCTACAGGAAGAGCAGGACCAGATAAAAGTGAGAGACTGGGATAAAGCAGGCAAGTCTCACATATTTTTAAACATGAAAACAACTAAAAAAAGAGAGGTCTATGAAATTAAAAAAACTATCCTGAATATCACTTCCTTCTGAAAGTATAGACAACTAATGTCACATAGAAATGATCCAAAAACACCAAGGTCAACTCTCAAAATTATTATGGAGGGACAGATTACAAGAGTAAGGAGCAGAGAAACATCTCTACAGTGAAACCACACTAGAAAAATATGCCCACAAAACAGAGCAAAACTGCAACCTACTAACTCAGAACTACCTAAAAGATATATATAAGAACATACAGATGAGTGAAAAGACACACGCAAGTTGTGAAAGAACAATGAAATTAGCTAACGCTTCAGTTAAAATAAACTCCAGAAAGCATTAGAAAAAAATTTTATTCCATAAATGAACCAGGGGTGGGGGCACATGCCTATACTGTAATCCCAGCACCCAGGAGGCTGAGGCAGAAGGACAGCAAGTTATAGGCCGGCTGACTTACACAGTAAGTTCAAAGCCAGTCTCAAAAAGCCAAAAGAATTTTTTAAATTTTAGAAGTGAGTATTAAAATGGAAGACAACAAGTCAGTAATAACCAAAAAAGTGGTCTAAAATATGGAGAGACCATTTCTTAAAAACACTTTATGTAAGTAAAGCTGACATGGCAGTGGCATGTACAGTGGCAGTACCCTGGCACGACAGTGTACACCGGTAACCCCAGCTACTCAGGCCAAGTCAATAGGAATTACACGTTTCAGGGAGACCTGAGCGACTTAGTGAGTCTGTCTCAAAATAAAATTTAAAAATGGGATATAGCTTGGTGGTAGAGCACTTGCTTAGCATGTGTGAGTCCCTGCATTTAAACTTCAGAACCAACAAAAAGGTGATTAAAAAATAGCAAAGAAAATGGCAAATACTGCAGTTTAAGCAAAGAACATACAGGTAGGAAGAGTCAGTAAAAGAAGAAATCTAAAGCCAACGAACAATATTAGAAGCTAAAATGCAAAAATATATTTGCTGGAAAAAATATCTGAAACTACATAATGAAGGAGCACACACACTCAGTACTTAAGCCAGAGACAGCTGTCACTGCGGCAGTGTGTAACAACTGTGACGCACCTGTACCACTATGCAACAAAAAGACCAGGAATCAACCATGTATCACCTTACTTGACAAAATTAATGTGCTTTTAAATAACGAAATTTATCATACATTTACCTGAAATGTACTACATCAGACAATCACAGCAGAACACTTATCTCGTGTACTTAGCCACTTTATTCCCTCTCTCTTAAAACCCTTTACACCTCCATCTGACACTGAGAGAGGAATAATATGAGCATTACACAAGTGGCTGTCACTTCCGCCGTCTCTTCAGCCACAGTGCAGCGTCTCAGCTATCCACCCATACTCTTCTGCCTATTCTCCGTGTATCTGGCCTAAATAGGAGTGCCAGTTGTGGCCATAGAATACAGCATATCTTACTGCAGAAGACTGTGTAGAAAAAACACAACTTTGGCTTCCACAGGAAAAAATTCTAGTAAGAAAACCCAAAGTCCTAGAAATGGCCAGGTTATAATGGAAATTTACATCCATTTAGCTAGTGATCTTTTCCCCTTACAATGGAAAGTATATACAGTAAAAATAAATGATTAAAAATACTTTCTCAGACTCAAGAAAGAACATCTGTCTTTCACATTTCGCTTGAGAATCAAAAATCTCATCTTGGGAAGTTGCATCAGACCCTTGGGGAAAGCTGAATCACATTCCTAACTACGATACATGAGTTTTATTCAAAGGCAAGCAATGGTTGGGCACAGCAGTACACACCTGTAATCCCAGGACTAAGGAGGCTGAGGCACGAAGATCACCAGAGGTTAAAGGCCAGCCTGGGCTACATAGTGAATTCAAGACCAACCTGGCCTGGACTTCACAGCAACATGCTGTCTCAAAAAAGCAAACCCCACAAAGTCAAATAATGAAAATGTTTTCAACTGCTGTGGTAACCTGAGAGGGCTGAGCATACAAAGACTTACAGGAATGAGATTTTCAGAGTCACTTAAACTACTACCTGCCCTCTCACTGCTTACATTGCTCTGCTCTCTAACTTATCATCCAGCTTCTTTTCAAACCATTCCAGTAATGGAATTACTCCAACACCTTCCAAAACAATGCATTCATTTGTGTATGATTTAAAGTACTGAGAAACACTGCCTTTTTAGTCCTTGTGCATATGTATACAGACAGAGAAAGAGAGAGAGAGAGCAAGAGAGAGAGCAAGAGAGAGAGAGAGAGCGAGCACAGGAGAGAGAGAATTCCACATGCTAGCTTAAGTTATACAGCCTGAGACTGCTGTATTTGTGAATTTAAAAATAAACAGGAACATGTTGGCATGGTTTATTTACATCTAAAATGCACCCCAAAATCTCATTTGTTCAGAGTGGGGCTTCTGTAAGGCAATATTGTCACGAGGACATCAGGGGACCCACCTATCAAATGTGCTGCTAGGAGGCTGGGCCTGCTGAGAAGAGGTGGACAGACCCCTGGGGGATGGCCGGAAAGGGCATTTTTCTGCGCTACAGCTCTGCTTCCTGGCTGCCAGGGCTCGGGCAGCTTTCCTCCGCCACCCACTTCTATCATGCCATTTCTGCCTCTGAACAGCAGAAGAAACCTCTTCTCCTTTCAGCTGTGTCAGGTGCTTTGTCCCAGTAATGGAAAAAGTGACAAATGCACATGGGAAAGAAAAGGGTAAAGATTAAAGCAATGAAAAAATATACTATTAAAAAATGCGATAATACTGGGAAGAAGTTTTATTTTCGTTCATTTCCTAGTCATTTGCACAGAATTTCATCAGCCAAAGATTAAGCTTAGCATGCCATTAAAAACACTAATAATAATACTGCGCTCCCAACACAGTGGTCGTCACAACAACTAAAAGACACACGATGGTTTCTAATTGCTAGAAATTTACAATTTAGTTAAGACGTACAAAAATAAGTAACAATCCATGGTAACAAATATACAAACTAAATACATAAGATGGTTGTGTTAAAGTGGGGAATTAAACTGGGCTTTTAAGACTGATAAGACGGGGCTGGGGATTTAGCTCAGCGGCAAAAGCGCCTGCCTGGCAAGCACAAGGTCGTGAGTTCGGTTCCCGGTACCGGAGGAAAAAAAACCAAAAAAAAAAAACCAAAAAAAAAAAAAAAGACTGGTAAGAATTTAGCTGCCAGAAAGATATATAAATTACATCTCCTACAAAGAAAACAGCTGAATGAAAAAACAAGAAATAATAAAAACAAGAACACATCGTAAGATTTGGCAGGAAGAGATGCCTCAATTCAGCTAAAGCTATCTGTCGTAGGGCATCACAAGTAAGGTCAAAGACATGGGATCAAGGCAGAAGAAAGTGGACTTCAATACCAACTTAAGAAAAGAAAACTTCATGATTCTGATAGGACAATCAGTGCAAATCTTCTAGAGAAAAGAAAAATGATCAATGCAGTGTTTATGTAAAATCGATAAAGTAACGGTGAGAAGAACAAGATGCAAACTACTAAAACCTTGGACATACTACCAGAAATGAGAGGGAAAACTGGCAAAAGTAAAACTTAAGAACTTACAGGAGTCAAAGTCACAAGGAGGGAATGAGAAGGACAGAACGATAGCATGTTACTGCACTTCAAGATTAGCTGGGAGAATGACATCAATTAAGAAAGCAAGCCAACCTAGAAAACCACAGCATTGCTTTATTATTAGATTTGTCAAGCTGCAAGACACAGATACCTACAAATCACATTTACATACGCCACACATTAGTAATTATCACTATAAGCAAGATCCCACACACTGACACAGTAAAACAATTTCATAAATCCTTACTTCCAACCTCCATATGGAACAGTTTCACTAATATCGCAATAGAGCAACAATTAATTCACTCCTTATTCTACTCTAACTCGTAATGTTGCCTGGAGAAAATATCCACGCTTTGTCATTAGTATTCTTTGTCTTAACTTCTGTCATCTCAGTAACAGCCAGCTTTCTTCTTCATAAATCAACAAAATTCCTAATTACTCCATGAGTTACTGAACATACAAAATAAGTAGAAAATGTAAAACCACGCTGAGATTCCAATGCCATGAAATACCCTAACTAGCTCACTCCAGCTTTTTAAAACACAATTAAAATGGATGCTAGGGAAAAATACCGATTAATTTATGGCAAAGATGGCAACACTTCTTAAGAATGACAAATCAATGAACAGCAAAGGTCTCTAGCAGACAATGTGAAAAAAAGACTCCTACATCACTTTTTTACTAGAAGTCACTACTGGACAAAGAGTTACAAAATCACAAGCATGCATGCACCCTGGGATTACAGGCGTGTGCCACCACACCTGGTTGGTATTCTTTACTTTTAAACAACTTAACTACAGACACTTTTAGTATTTGTAATTAGTACTTATATATTAAAATGAATAATTAAGAATTCTTAAATAAAGGAAAAAATTTTAATTCTTAAGGGGAAAAGATTTGGGTTGATTAACCATTATAAAATAAGACAAAACCTGTAATATTTGCAACAATATAAAAAAATAAATCTTTCTAAAAACTTAAGAATTAACTAAAAATAAACCCAAGATCAGAGATATTTAACCTGACCATGAACCACATTAAAAGAATTTTGAATTTTTAAAAAAATTTGAGTAATTTTATTTCTAGGCTAATAAAAATCAATAAAGTTTTGGTAGGACATCCCCCACACACACTTTTCTTACACAGTACTAGGGATTGAACCCAGGTGTCTTCTACCACTGATCTAGAACCCCAGCCCACACTCGGCTTCAACTTGTGATCCTCCTGCTTTCTTTAGAGTTACAGGTGTGTGCCACCATGCCCAGCTAATTATCTTCTTTTAAAAAAAAGCAACACAGTAATTCTAAAATATCAATGAATATAGAAGTCTTAAAAATTGAAAAACACACATAACACAAATAACTGATAAAAATATAGAATATATGTCAATTGATAAGTAACCCTAAGTCAAAACTATGTAAATAGTTGTATTTCACAAATCATATGTGTACACGCACACACTAATTTTTATTTAATAGCTTGTTTGGGCTCAGAGATTAAATTACATTGCCTCAAATAGAACTAACCAAAACTAAGCATTCAAACCAATTCAAACAATGGATTACCAGGAAGCTAAATTGCTTCCTTACAACTTACTAAACCAAGTATTCAAACCAATTTATCACAGCAGATTACTAGAAGCTAAATGCTTAACATCAGGAATATATTCAAGGCACTGCTGAAGGCACCATGGAATGAACAAATGGACTAATACTACTACTATTCAATGAGTTAACGTGTAAAATGTCCCATGTACTATCTTAAATATTTCACCTATATTGATTTATGAGATTCCCCGGCAACCTACAAGGCTATTACAATTTTTATTTTATAAGTGAAACCGAGATGCCCTGTGGTCAAATATCCTGTGGAGATCATACAGGTCTGACTCTACAGGCAACCTTTGTAATCACTTTGTGCTGTTGCCTCTCTTAGAATCAGCTACCTCAAATACCCCAGGCTAAAATACAGATCATACTCCTGAGTTTGGAAATTTGGGTCTTCAACAATTACTACCTCTATTTCATAACCTCAGAAAAATGTTTAAATAACAACTTTAAATACTCTGGTCTATCTACGTGATTTTTTTTTTTTTTTTTTTTTTTTTGTCTTTTTGAGACAGGGTCTCGCTATGCAGTTCAGGCTGGCTTTGAGCTCACTTTGTAGCCCAGGCTGGCCTCGAACTCACAACAATCCTCTTGCCTCTGCCTCCCAAATGCTAGGATTACAAGTGGGCACCACCACACCTGGCCTCTATGTGATTTTTTTAAAAGTAAAATTATGTGGTTTAATGACTGATTTCTCCCATCCCAGAACTAACCAGGCCCAACTCTGCTTAGCTTCCGAGATCAGACGAGATCGGGCATGTTCAGGATGGTACGACCATAGACTAACAACTGATTTCTAAAGTTATCCTAACCTGCTTTCTCATCCTGGCACACTGGGAAAGAGCTCTGTGGACTACACAGAAAGCTCTGGCCAGCTCTAGGTATGAGTACTAATTATAAAGACTTGTATTCCAAAATAATAATTTTCATTTCAAGTACCCAATCAAATATAATTTTAAATGGTGCAAATTACTTGATTATTTCCAATATCCTTACTTTTTAATAACTCAGTATCTTAACACGTATCTATTACCTATCTACAAAAAGACCAGTGAACTACAGTCCTTTGATTTGGAAATTTTGTGCCGAGCGACACAGTTGCTACCAGAAATAACCCACTATTCAACTTCTCTCAAATGGGATAATTCAGGAAAATAGTATTTCTGGAGAACTGAACTACCTAGGGATTACATGTCTCATCCTTAATTTAAAATGAAATAGTAAGAGCGGGGATACAAATCAGGGGCACAGCGCCTGCCTGACAAGTACAAGGTCCTGAGTTCAATTCCTGCTACAAAAAAAAAAAAAAACTATTTAAAAGGCTATAGATTTTGGTCTTCAATTTTTTTTTATCTCTACAAACATGGTCATATTTTCAAGCTACATCTCACATTTTCTTGAAAAAGACAAGAAACAACATCATAACATCTGTTAGCACATTTGCTAGAGATATTAAGAATACTGCCTCAAGAAATGTTCAGAAAGTTCTGTTTCTTTGATATAACTAGGATGTTTTCTCTTCAAGGATCTTGAAAGTATATAAAGGATCACACTTCCTTTTATGCCTTTGCCAGCAAAAAGCTCAAAAATAGAACTGATAAATTATGCTTGACTTTATAGCCCAACAATCTCTATTCTACTCCTTTGACAGTTAACCTTACTGTACCAATGCAAATTCTTATATTTTTCTGATTCTTAGGTTAGCACATGTATCACTGAGGTTCAGTCGCAAATAGTAGGCCCTCCACATACTTAGGTTCTGCGCTGTGTGATTCAATCAACTACAGGTCAAAAACAGTAGAGGGAAAAAAAAAACTACATCTCCTCTGAACACAGACGGTATTTTTCCTTCTCATTTCATTATTTCCTAAATAAGCGTATGACAACTACTTGCACAGTATTTACATTGCATTCACTACTGTAAGTGATCCAGGGATGATTCAAAGTATACAAAGGAAAGAATATGCAGAGTTTGTACACAACAACTACCATAATACTATCTTACTGCAGTGTAGTAAGATAGTATCTTCACTGTAGTAAGATAGTATCTTCACAGTGTAGTAAGATAGTATCTTCACTGTAGTAAGATAGTATCTTCACAGTGTAGTAAGATAGTATCTTCACTGCAGTGCAGTGAAGCCCTGCAGTGTCTCTGGATTCTGGTATCTGCCAGGCACCCTGAAGCCAGTCTTGTGCAGACACCAAGGGATGAGTGTGTGTATTTAGTACTTTATACTAACTAAAAGCACATTCAAAAATAGGGTAATTTCACTATAAATTACAAAGAATGAATAGTAAAAGTAATTGTTTTTAAATTTGTGGCCAATCTTAAGGACTAGATAGTAAGACTGTGAGGACTTAAGACCGTGACACCAGAAAAACAGCCAACTCTTCAAATTACAAGGTTATCCCAAATGAAGCTAAGCTGCTCTAAACAAGTCTAAGTGTTCCTATATTTGTTCACTAGACGAGTATGTATTCACCTGAATATTATCTTCCAGCTACTATTCAAATATGAAGAAAATCTCTGTAGAAAAGGAAATTCCTACAAGCCAGTTTCCAGGTTAGAGCTGACTTTTTCCTTACCTTTACTCAGGCTCCCTCTACTGACAGGAAAATAAACTATGGAGTTAAACGGCAAATTTCACCAACACAAGCAAAAATATTGTTCAATGGCATCAAAATCACTATTTTAGATAAAAATATAATACGCTATAGTAAAGTAAAGCTAACTTTACTGCAGAGGCAATAAAATAACAGCTATGAATTAACAAGTCAAATAACATTCGATTTTTTTCAGTACCCTTCTTTTCATCATTAATTATCAGATCCAAGGATTAGATAGTTTAAATCATTTTAAATATTTTTAATAGTTTCTTCTTAAAAGTAATGTTTACCTGAATCTGTTCTGGGGTCCATTGGTCTAGGTTGACTGACTTGACCCTGGATATATGAACTCCAAGATTTCTATGAATTCCAGCACATCTGATGCAAATAAATACACCAATATTCCAGGAAGCCCATCGGGGACCTAATTAAGGAAAAACAAAAAAAAATAAGTATTAATATTGAGTGAAATAAATCAGACACACATGCTTAAATCTTTTTTTTTTTTTTTGGAACCGGAAATCCAACTCAGGACCCTGAGCCTGCCAAGCAGGTGCTGTGCTGCTGAGCTATATCTCCAGCCCCACATGCTTAAATCTTATGGCATCTCTCATTTGAATGAGGCAAACTACAAATAAAGAAAATGACAATGGATAGATAGAAGGGGACACAGGGACAAATCTCTTCCAACAGGGAAGTGGTCCAGGGGAACAAGGAGTGGGGAGGGGAGGGAAAGGAGGAGAAAGAAGAGGAATGAAGATGTGCCATCCACGTACAGGACCCTGACAACTCCAATCAATGCAAACATTATACGCTGTAACATGTGCTATGACAAATAATATCACAAGTATGAAAAAGGTAAGGGGGGGTGACTAGAAAAAAAGGTGCACTACGTACATATAAGCACTCCCCAAAATGACTGTAAATGGCATGAATTGGAACCATGTACTAATAAAATAAAATAAAGAACATTAAAGAACATTACAAGAAAAGATCAGCCCAGCTATTCAGCAGCAGAGGTAGCGGCCTTTGTGTGTGTGTAGATGACCTTTCTTTCAGCTAATTAGATGAAGCAGGTCCACGGTGTTACATAAAGAAAATGTTTTCTACTTTGGTGAACATAAGCAATAAAACAAGCAGTGTACATGAATTTTAAAAAGAAAAAGAAGTATCAAAACTAAAATATACACCAAGACAACATATAAGCATTCCGGATTTTATACAACTACAATGGAAGCGATGTAAGCATCTTGCCACGTAGGGTGAGGCATCTTGGTTGTACTGAAAGTGTAGAAAGAAGCCTTCTAGAACCTCAATCCTTTTACTGATTTTGTTTTCCTAAAAAGTTTCCCCTAAATCTAAAATTTTAAAATTAATTTATGTAAATTTTTTCATTCAGAATATTTGAACCGGCAGCAGCATAACCCATAGTGAGAAGTTCTTCGTTAAGCATACAAGATAGTTTAAAATAGTAACAACAGATACAAAAAATTACTTTTTTAAATGGGCAGGGTCTTGCTTTGTAACCCCAGCTGGCCTTGACCTCATGATCCTCCTACATCAGCCTTCCAAATAACTGGGATTACAAGGGCATGAAAGACATTTTAAAAATAAGACATGGCTGAGGGTGTAGTTTGGTGATAAAAGTGCTTTTGAGCATGTGTCACACCTTGAGTTTAATCCCCAGGACCATATACATACACATATACACACATATACAGATATTAAAATAAGTAAATAAGCAAATAAAATAAAACCTACAAATCTGTAAGAAAAAAACAACAAAAAAAATGGACAAAAAGCTATGAACAGACAATTCCCAGAAGAAATGTATAGTCAATAAAAAAAAACACATTAAGTTGCACTGATAATTAGGGAGAACACCTCCAATGACCTCCATCTTGCACCCACCATTTTGGAAAAGAGTTTTTAAATCTATCAGTAGTAAGTTTTTGCAAGAAAGAAATCAAGTACTGCCTTGAAAAGCCTTGTAAGGGCCATGGATGTAGCTCAGTGCCACAAGCGCCAGCCTGGCAAGCTCAAGGTCCTGAGTTCGATTCCCAGTACCAAAAAAAGCCTTATAAACACATAAATAAATCTTAAACACAACACCGAGATTAAGAAAAGTTACAGGTGAATCATACAGTATGAAGCCACTTGCACAAGCTGACAAGCATGTAAAACTTAAAAGCATGCATATTAACGCAGTCACCCACAAATGCTGCAAAACTGAGGCTGGCAACTGGGGGTGAGAAAGGAGGAAAAGTACACACTGGGCTTGGACAGCCCTGGGTATACTGAACTTCCATGACCAAGTGGCAACAGCACCAACTTCTGCCTCGGAAAAAGAGCTGTGCCATTAAATGTTACCTCTTTGGGTCAGAGTCAAAAACAACCAGGAAAACACGGCAGCAAAGCTAACACAGTATGTATACAAGAATACAAGCCTTAGCGTTACATTTCTTCACATCTTTATATCCTTTCATAACTTTATTTTCTGATGATTAATTTCAAATATTGCTTGCATAATTAAATAAAAATGGAAAAAGATATCTAGAAATTGTCAAATATTGAGAAGCTTACAATTATCAGATTTCTATAACTTTACGTAAGTATGAAAAACTAGTAACATAAGAGACATCAATAAAAATCAAGCTTTTTAAAAACAGTAGGTTTCTGTTTTAAGTGAAAACTTCCTATCGGTGTGTTCTACCACTGAGTCACACACCCCACTCTGGGACTCCATGCTTTTTAATCCAAAGATAAAAGTTACCCTAAAAAACAGCATTCATTAAGGCTACTAATTACAAAATAGTAAAAAAAAAAAAAAAAAAAAATCACATGCTCCCTCCAAACTCATTAATTACACAGGAAGTAGGGTATGTACACACAGCTTATTCCCAGATAACCTACTTCTATATTTGAGAAATGACATCTGTAAACCAAGAGACATTCATTTGGGACCTCTATAACTATCTTAGCTACAACTGCCTCTTGCGGTTACTCTCCACTTTGTCTAATCATTTCTAATGTCTGTAACAGTTTATAATACAACAACCTGTTTTGAAGCTTTACACAGAAATCTAAGGTAAACAGAAATAGGTAAGTTTCCGGAGGGTTGAACTATTTTAGTAATTAAGAAAATTTAAATACAGTGTCTCTCAGATTCCAATGTGCTATGCATCACCTGGGGATACGATGAAAACGCAGGCTCTGATTCTGCAGTGGGGGGAGCTGCCTTCCTAACTACTTCCCAGTGAGGCCCACGCTGCCATTCACAGACTATACTTTGAAAAGCAGTTTCAATTATTCTTTAGTCTTAAGCATTCAGCATACAGTATCCTCTCCTCCATTCCACCCCCACAGCTATAGAGCGTAAGTTTCAAGCCCTCAGAGGATCCCTGAAACTGGAGGTAATACAAAACCCATCTATACCATGTTTTTTCCAATACATACAGACCCATGCTCGCTTCGGCAGCACATAAACCAATACACACAAGAGCTAAGGTGACACTGAAGTCATAAATTAGGCACAGTAAGAGATTAACAACAATAAGATATAAATACAAATGCTGTAATGTAAGTTATGAGGATATGGTCTCTCTCTATATCTTCCTGTACTATACTCACCATTCGTATGATGATGTTAAATATTAAAGGGAATACTTTACAGCTTCTCTTTGGCCTATCCAAAGTGCCAACACCAGTATGTGTCTAGGGATCATTTTAAGTCAAATATGGATTACTTGAACACAAGCACTGAGATACTACAACAGTGTACAATAACTAAGACGGCCACGAGATAACCAACAGGCAGGTAGCACACACAGCAGGGATACTCTGGACAAAGGCATTAACTGTGTTCTGGGCACGACAGGGTGAGATGGCGTGAAGTTTTATCACAGTACTTAGAATAATGCACACTATGAAACTTTATTTCTGGATATTTCCACTCGATTTTCAAATCAAGGTTGACTGGGTAACAAACTACAGAAAGGGAAACCACAGACATGGGAGAACTACTGCCCATTCTTTCTTAATTTTTTATTAGTATATGTTACGATAATGAGTGCCTACATTTAGCTTGGAGGTTGGACACATACATATGTAGTACCTTGATCATTTCTATTCCCCTGGCCCTCCCTGATCTCCTTTCCTCCTCCTTCCCTAATCCCTTTCCCATCTCTACAAACTCGACCTCTCTCTTCCTTAACATGGCTCTTTTATTTTGCTCTTTAAAATATTTAGATTTTAGGTCTCATACTACTAGAGAAACTCTGTGATATTTAACCTTTGTAAATAATTTCTTTCATTGTATATTACAGTCTGAAGATCCATTTGTCTACAAATGACTTAAATGTATCCCTCTTTGTGGTTACACAATACTCCACAATGCATACGTATCACATTTCTTTATCCATTCACCTGTCGGTGGGCATATAGGTCACTTCCATGATTTAGCTATTTTGAGTTGCACTGCTATAAACACAAGACTGCATGTATCACTACAGTATGACTTCTGCTCTTTTGGGAAAATACCCAGGGCAGGTACTATTTTAGTTTTTTGAGGAATCTCCACACTGCCTTCCAAAGTACTTGTTTACGCCCACCAATAATGTAGGACTGTTTCTCCCCTACAACTTCCCCAGCATTTGTGTTTTGAATCCTGACAAAGCCCGTAAGAGGGGTAGGTAGAAACTAGCTAGAATCTGCCCTCCATCTGTGGGACTGCAGGTGGGCAAGCTGTCCCTCTGAGGTTCCATTTCATCTTGTAAAGCTCAGCCTTTGTAGAACTCTGCAATACCAGCTACCCCTCCACAATATTCAAGTTCGGAATGAAGGTCATTAGTTCAGATTATTGCAAGCATTTCAAATTGCCATGTTCACTTTCTTCTTGGACACATTGTCCTACTGGAGTAAGAATCTTAGTCCAGTATTATTCTGATTTGCATTTCTTTAATGGGCAAGGATGCTGACCATTTTTCCATGTATGGGTTGGCCATTTGTATTTCTTATTCTATTAAGAGTCTGTTCATTTCAACTGCTCATTTTTTGAACAGTTCTTTTATTTGAAGGGAATCTAATTTTTGAGTTCTTTATTTATGCTAGATACAATTGTCTGAAGAATTGCCAGTAACAAAATTTTCCCATTCTGTATGTTGTCTTTTCATTCTATTGGTTGTTTCCTTTGCTGGGCAGAAGCTCTTCATTTGATTAAATCCCATTTACTGATTCTTGGTATTATTTCTTGTATAACTAGGGTTCCATTCACAAACTCTTTTCCTGTGTCTTCAAAAATTTCACCGATTCTGTCCTCCAGCATATTTAGTGTTTCTATTTTGATATATGTCTTTGATCCATGTTGATTCTCATA